AGTTATGTGGTCCTTCAGGTGAGGCACGATAAAAGCTAACATTTTCGAATTAATGCCCATCTTGTCCTGTTGCATTAGTTTTTACGCCCATGATGATTTTTTCGACATCCTTAGGCTCAACAGTAGAAAATTCGAAGCGGTTGCGTTGCCCAACGCATTTATTAGTGTAAGTGTTATTAGAGAGATTTTAAGCCGCTGAAAAATCAGCATTAAACATTAAACGTTATACTGCTCATGCGCAATAGCTTGAGAATTGAGGATAATATAAATAACTGATATTGTGTTCCTTTATTTATGTTCCAATAAGGGCAACATTATTAAGGGAAATGTTATCAACATCGTTGTCAAATTTAAGTTGAATAATTTGATTTTCAGATAAAAATGAAATAATTACAAGTAGAAGAAGTCCATCTACATGGATGCTTCTGCAAAACATTATCTACATTACATAAATTATATATTTGCTTCGAAAAACACAAAATATATACTTAACGAAATTTTGGTGGCATCCTTGTATTTATCCAGCAACGAAAATGTATATGAAATTATAGGAAAATCACTGAAAATAATCGTTAACGAAAGAAAATGTATGATTATGAGATTGGGAACAGCAGACGCAGTCGTCAAAACTTGAAAACTGATGTTTTCAACGTAAGCACAATCTAGTGGCTTCAAAAACTGAAATAGGGGATAATGCAATACCTTATTTTGTACCGAATGCGCATGCCCCATTTAACGTTTTAGTGTATAATGACTAGTCAGAAAATGATGGCTTAAAATCTCTCTATTGACGAGGTTAGTATTAATTATCATTAGCGATGGATGGAAGTGAGTTCGAGAAAAACTTGCTGAAATCACCTGCAGTACCCCAATCTAAAACAGAGTTACACTGTTTTGAATTAGAGCTAATATTTTGATATTTAATTTAATGGTTCGCCAAAAACTTTTTGGATCTCGTTTATTATATTGATTTGTCAGGAGTAGGTACTTGTAGATAACGTCAAATAAAATATAACAAGTGTCAAGCACGAATTAGGCATTCTACAATTATAAGTAATTTATGATTTGATTGAACGTATACCAATAAAAAAAAATAGTATAAAGTATTCGTGGATAACTGGTCTTTAAAACCCTTGCTCTATTTCCAGCACTCCGGCTGCGCCGTCGTGCTCGAAAAATCGCGCGTGTTTTAAAGACTTAATATCCACTTATACTTTAATATACTATATTTACATAACAGTACCTACCTAATACGTGGGTTAAAAAAAGTAAAATATACTACAATAATAGAATGCACTAAGAGTATGGAATGCGATATCAATATCTAGATATTTTTTATATGGAGAAAAGAAAACTCAAATAAGTATGCCGGATTAAAACATTGTGAATAAGATAATATATTCCTAACATAGTGATTGAAGAGTGACTCGAATTATTGTTCATTATGACTATTATTTTACAACAAAATAGTAAAGTGTATCAGATTTAGTCGATTTAGAGTTTCTAATAGGACACTATGACCTTCCTATTTTTAGTATCATCCCGAAGATAAAATTTACCCCCAGCTAACCAAACCTTTTTTTTGCCATATTTTTTTCTCAGATCGTCCAACTTCATAAACCTTTTTTTCGTTAAGTCTTCAAAAATCATGCAATCACTATTCTTGAGCCTTAGTACCAAATACTTGGTTACGTTTCAAATTTCGGGTAAAATTCTTTAGTACCACTCAAGGTTTCGCAGTGACCTCATCTGGACTATATTTACCGATGCGGAATGCATTATGTGGGAATGAACTATCGATATCAGTGATAGAACAGTTAATAATTCAATTTTGAATTGATAAATTCGACTTCTAAGGATACTGTGTTTTCGATCACTTTCTCTAGAAGACCGAGGTAGCGGAGAGAGTTTCTTTTGGTGAACTGCTCGATTTCGTCATCAAGTTTTTTGTTGGTATCCTCAGATACTGACCTACCGCGCAAAGGTTCTTACGAGCCATGGTACTGACGCAGTTCAAGACGACAACACTGGACGTTGGAATGCTATTTTAACGCCGAGTACGACTATATCGTGCAGTACAGCATTCAATAATAGTTACAGCTATTTATAGTGTTGAGAATCAGTTTTCACTTTCCAAGATAACAAGTATACTACTACCCTACTGTAACAGTAGTTTGAATCATTTATTTCACTTAAATTCACCAACATTTTTTTTAATTTTGCTAGACCACACAATCACACTTACTTCAACATTGAACATTGAATTCAAGGCATTCAGATGGAAACCTCATATGGCTTTGGATTAATCAATCAATTATTTCATAGCTAAACCATAAAAATCTGTAAATTAAGCATGATTCACTAGTGCTATAAATTGCACATCCAACAAAACAGAGCTTCAAGTTTGAAGTATTGGCAGCTCAAAGACGATGACTGGGATATGTACTCAAGACCCAAACCCATCTTCAAAACCTTTTTTTGCAATTTCATGTTTTTTTACAATTACGTTTATCGATTTTATTGAATTCATTCATAGATTCACATAGAGACACATGCAAGATAAAGAAAGGATTTGAAAATAAAACAATAATAATTCATCAGTAAATTCATATACTTTATTTTATAGAGATTAAAATACAATTTCTAAACTTGCCGAGTTAATTTTTTTTTTATACATTATACATCCCTTTTTCTTTACAAAATACATAAACAGAAAAAAAAAAGTTAAAGGAACATCTTCACTTTACAAAACAAAAAATAAACACTAAATTAATATATTTATCCATTTTTATATTACATTGTCTTTGGTAAAACTAGCCAATGAAAAAATGCAAATTATAATCATTAACAAATAACAAAAATTATTGCAACAAAAGAAATACAAAAATAAAAACTATACTGAATAAAAGGTTAGTCTAAAAACTAGGGAAATATTTGACGAATAAATTTCATTCATACAATAATAATAATTATTATAATATTTACAAAAATTTACATAATGTATATTTTATTATAGTATATGTATACCTATCATGTGTTTATATATTCATATAATTATATAATTTTAAATATATTATATAATAATAATATATCTCTGCGGTTTTGAGACTCGAACTATATAATAAATGCTTAAAATTTTTAACATTAGCAGTACGACCTTATGTTATTGTCAAAAAACCTTAAATTTAAATATAATATACCCCACCACACATTATGGAAATCATACGTTTAGGTACATAATTTTGGAATGGTTCAAACATTTTTTTCTTTATTAATAAATTTCAAAATACTCTAAAATATAATATTTTTCATTATTATGGTTAACTCAAATCACCGTTGTCGTTTTATTTTCGTTAAATTACCTTACACACTATAACATCTATAAAATGTTAGTAACAACTGGCACCATTTATTTTTTTAAATCTTCTTTGTATAGGTGAAAAATCTATATCAGAACTACTACGTATTGTCATGTAACACCTCTTAAATGCTTTTGGCTTTAATTTGCCTTTTTATTGTACTTGTTTTTGCATAAAACAGGGCAAGATTTGATTATTGTTTCATAAGCAAAGCGGTAAATGTTCACTTGCGAAAAGAAAGGACTATTATTTGAAAAATAGAATGTCATAATATATCGAAAAACTGGAATGAAATCTATAAAACATTATATATTGAAGAAGTTATTTATAATCTGACCTCGACATTATTTCAATAATTTTTTGGAAAATGGCTCTTACAAACTATAATAATTTCGATGTAGTCCGAAACCACGTTTAGAATTTCAAAACATTATACAAAATGAGGACGTTTTTTGAACAGTAACTAAAACATTTAGGATTTTTTTTAATATTCGTTGATCAAATTTTCATATATTTTTATTGGCACTTCGAAAGCTCAAATTTTTACATTATCTACATTAAAAAAAAATTGCACGAAAAAAAAATAACTATGAGAATAAACATAAAATTGCCATGTTGCCCCATGCCTGCATTAATACACCACTACTTTGGATATGATAGTGGTGGAAGACGATGGATTTAGTTTTTAATACTGGTACGATCTATTCAATTCTGTATATACCTAACGGTTTTAAATGAGTATTTATACAGGTACCAGATACAATTAATTATGTATGTACAAAATTATAGTAAAATAGTTAGTAGGGTCAATATAGGGAATTGTTTAATTAATATTGGTGATGGTGAAAGTGAAGATTAGATATTGTGTAGAATAGCAACTGAGCCTAGTTGGAGAAAATTTAATAGCATTAACTTTATGTTAAGTACGTGAAATTTTGGCCAGAGATCTTGACGTGGAACCGAAATGGACCGTCAGCTGGCATTTGATCAATATTTTTGGTTTGATCTGGTTTAGACCACGGAAAAGTCACAAGGAATGGATGTTAGTGGTAGTAAATTTGTTTGGAATTTTCTAGGCATGTAGTCAGCTGACAGTTAATTTCAGATTAACGACAATAAAATTTGATTTATTTTTCAATCAAAGGAAACCAAAAGTTGCCGATGGCTCATAAACCAAAACTTAGTTTCATTAAAATCTCATTTTATTAGAAAGTTAGGTTTCTTTTGGTACACGTATCTGTTGCTACCCTTCTACAGTTATAGCATTATTTTTTAAATGGAAGCAGTACTTTGGCACAAAACGGTATGGATATAAATACTACCTAATTGCAAAAAAAAATAATATCAAATATTATTTGGTAAAATTAAAGTAATCTACAAATATATATGGCACGAAATTCACAGCTTTAAAAACTATACACATCTTCAGAGATTCACTCGAAAATTCTTGAAAGGATATTCATTGCACTCCTAGAAATTCCACAAAGGGAACTTAATATCACCAGGAAGTAAAATCGATTTCGAGAAGCCAATGAAAATCCATTCAAACTATAAAAATTTGTTACCACAATAAGATACGAAGTACAAAAACACGTTGCCAGCAACGACAAAGTACATTTTGGCACGGAAAAAATCAAAAACTTACTCTCTGTAAGGTTTACAATAGGAGTACCGATGGTTCATGTGCTGGCTGTAGGAACCGGAATGCGAAAACCTTTTCAGACATTTGCTGCATTGAAATGGCTTTTCTCCTGAATGTAATCTCTTGTGTTCGGTCAAGTGGTGCTTGTGCTTGAAGGCTTTTGGACATTCATCGCATTTATGTGGACGTTGACCTGGAAAGAATATCTCTATTAGAACAAACAACGATAAAATATTGGAATCTAGGACATACTGGCTTTATTCGGGCAAAAAGATTATCGCGTTTATTCTGGATTCTAGAGATTGCGGATATATAAAGGCCGGTATTAGTTAGTAGTTTTAAGTTTAAGATTGACTGTGATACGTTTTAGATAAGTGATTATTGTGAACGTTGTAAAGAGTTAAGTTGTTTAAGGTAATTAGGGCCGGTATTATAAAGCTGGTGAACTAAAGTTTGAGTTTCAACCAGCGATTGAAATGAAATGTCCATATAAAATCATACGGAAATGTCAGTTCGACCGCTGGTTGATATTCAACCTTCGGTTTACCAGCTTTATAATACCGGCCCTTAGTGAAGTAATTAGTGTCAGAGTGTGTAGTTACGTGGAATAAATTATTGTTGCGTTAATTGGACTTTGATTTTGGAATAAACGAACCCCAAGATTTCTGTCACGCATACACAAGAGTCGTGACATTGGTGTCAGAAGTGAAATATAATTCGAGGAGTGCAAAGTGAAATCCGATTACACAATAGTGCGCGGACACTATAGTGAACACTAGGACAGTTAGTCAGTGTAACAGTGTCAATGACCAGAAGAGACTCAACCGATTGTATAAATTACCCCGGAAGTCAAGGGACTGTATTCTGTGATAGTGAATTTTCAAGTAAGTTCTAGAAAATTCTATTTGAAAACCAAGGCAGATATCGAATTTCTTACTTCGCCGACGTATTTGATACATCAATCGTCATTCAGGACACAGAATTTCGAGGGATTTCGGGAAAATTCTAGATCATTCTATTCGGAAACCAAGGGAGTACATATAGTTGGACAGTTCTGCATCCTCCGTCCTCCGGAAGAGATGACGTCATCTGTCAAAGTCACCTGTCAGTCAAATGTCAGTCACCTGTTAGTCAAAAATGTCACTCATCTGTCAATCATTTGTCAATGTCATCTATGAATCATCTGTCAAAGTCATGTATCAATCATCTGTCAATGTCATCTACTCCGAACTACCCCAACCAATTCGAACTAGTCTAATCTACTCCGAACTAACCTAAACTACTCTAATCTTCTCCGAACTACCCCAATCAACTCGAACTACTCCAATCTATCCGAATTACACCAACTGCTCCATTGACGTCACGTGTCATACCCAACGCCATCTATTGAGCGAAGGCTTGAACGATCAGAAACGTTTAATTTTTAATGTTCAAGTTTAACTTTCGTAAGAAACATCCTCATGAAATCTTCTTGTAATATTTGGGAAGTACTAATAAGATCCCAGTTGATCTCTCGTTGGTAATAAGTCATAAACTTCGGTGTGGTGATTTTGATTCATATAGCTTTTTCGGATTTTGCACACTCACTAGGCATCATTTTCTCTTGAACTTCTTCACTCTTTGAAGGAAAAAACTATACTTATTTTTATCAAACCAGCTGTTATGTTCAATGTCAAAACTAAGCCATTTTTACAAAATACTTAATTTTTTTTCGCACGGTCAGGAATTTTCTCTACTAGGTGAATGTCTGAGTTTTTTCAACTTTTTGTAATTGGAGTACTTATATAAAATCCTCCCTCACTTTCCTGTTTGTTAAAAGCTAGACAGGTCTGTATAGAGCTATACAGATCTAGGCCTTTAGAGCTTGTTCATTCAACTTTGTTATTTTATATATTCATTCCAAAATTACGAAAGATAAAACCGTTAAATGCCATACAAGTTCAAATCAAAATTGGCACCGCTCGCGCAGACTTGGCGTATTTGAAAAATATGCGATGTATAAGAAGGAAGCAGGAAGCAGTACGAAGCCGTGTCTCTAAAACCACGTCCTCTTTTTCGGTCGTTATCAAAAATCAAAAAACCTATCGAATTCAAGGCAAAAATTCCTTATTATTATTTCTAAGACTGTGTTGTATTGGTGTGTCGCTGAGAAGCAGACTTTCTGGACACGAGGAGCTCCTCTGGATCGACGAAAACCAGCATAAACCAAGTAAGTGTCAATCCTCCATTGTCTTTGTATGGCTCGGGTTTATGTCCATTAATATTTGCGCGGCAAAATTGAATTTAGCGCCTACAGTCCCGCTGCTCTTTAAACTTTCGAAAACCTAACGCAAATTTTCGTGAACAGAGCTGTATACAGACCAGTCTAAAGCTGTATTAGACCTGTCTCTAGACCTGTCTAGCTTTTAACAAACAGGAAAATAAGGGAGGATTTTATGTTTTACAAAAAGTTGAAAAATCTCAGACATTTACCTGAACGTTCGAAAAAAAAAATAAGTTTTTTGTAAAAATGGCTTGGTTTTGACATTAAACGTTTCTGATCGTTCAAGCCTTCGCTCAATAGATGGCGTTGGGTATGACTCGTGACGACAACGGAGCAGTTGGTGTAATTCGGATAGATTGGAGTAGTTCGGGTTGATTGGGGTACTTATAATAATAATAATAATAATAAACAGCCTTTATTTACGACTAATGTATAATGTGCGTATTATATTTGTGATTTTGGCAGTATAATGACATATGTTATTCCTCCAGGGATTAATGACGAGTAGCGGGATTAATGGTCATTATTCCACAAAAGTGTCAGTGTCAAACGTGTAGTGCTTGTGGATTTGTATTGAAAATTATGAGACGGATGAAATTTGTTCATTGAAAATCTCAAATAAATTAATTTGTCGTAAATAAAGTAGATTATACTACTCGCAATAATGGCTATTATTCCCTCGGAATGTTACTCCCTCGCCGCTAACGCGGCTCAGTTCGTAATAATCCTCGGGAATAATAGCTATCATTATTGACTCGTGGTATAATCTACTATTATTCAAGAAAAGAAAAAGATATCAGATTTACATGTGAAAAACAAATACAAGAAAAAGGGTTAAGAAATGGCGCAGTCTAGCTTTTAATAGCTACTCCACTGAACCACTTCAGAACCAAATTAAATAAGTAAATTGCGCATTGTATGCAAACAGTTTAATATTATTAACAAACAAAAAAATCACCAATAGACAATAGACAACCTGTAAAAATATGGAACAAAAACATCCTCAAAATGCAATTTAACTAAGGTGTGCGAAATTTATAATATTATAATACCTATATTAATATAACTCATAAATACAGAGAAGAGCAAAAGAAAAAAATTAAATTAATGGAATTGTAAGTTTAATAAATGATTCCTATATTTCCTCTTGAAGGAGTTAACATTCAAATTGATCAGATCATTTGGCAGAGAATTATATTGACGTATTGCGTTAAAAGTAAAAGACCTCTGAAACAAGGTACTCCGATGGTGCGGCATCGTGAGCCCCTGTCCAAACCTTACATTTATAGAGTGAATATTGCTTCGCGGAACAAGTCGTTCATTCAATGATTTATACAGTTCCGGATTATTTAAAATCTTAATAACAAACCCGTTAAAATGAAGTAATCTTCGGGATTCCATTCTAAGCCAGTTTAGTTGAACATATGCCTCAGAAACATGGTCATATTTTCGAAGACCCATAATAAAACGCACACAGGAGTTCTGCAGTTTTTGAATTCGATATTTATCTTCGTTATCGATAAAGAAACCGTAGACTACATCACAGTAATTGAAATGGGAGAGGACAAGTGACTCACAGAGTTGCTTTCTTAATTTAAAGTTTAAAATATGCCTACTATTATATAATATTCTCAATGACATGTATGCTTTTTGAAATTGTTTTTTTAGGTACTCACGGAAACGTAAGTCAGATTCTGAAATTATTCCCAGATTTTTTGCAGAATCTACAACTGGTAATCTGGTGTTATCTAACATTATATTGATATTTTGCCTTAAAAGTTTTATTTTATTTTTGTTTCCAAAAAGCATCAAAAAAGATTTTGAGGGGTTTAATTTCAGGCTGTCAGCACGAGAGAGTTCACTTATTCTATCAAGGTCCTGACTTATAAGACGCTGTGCCTCCAAACTACTTTCAAAATCAAAACAACAGTAGATCTGCGTATCATCCGCATATGCTTGTACTTTACAAAATTTTAAAGAACTCAGAATATCAGAGGTATATATAAGGAAAAGCAAAGGTCCCAAAATGGAACCCTGCGGTACTCCAGATAGAACCTCAATTTGGTTGGAAAACTTTCCATCAGAATATATTTTTTGGTGACGGTTAGACAGATACGATTTAACAAGCTGACAAGACTCAGAAGAAAAGCCGTAAAATTTTAGTTTCGAAATCAATAAATCATGGTTTACTGTATCAAATGCTTTTGAAAAGTCTAAAAGTACTAAAACACTCAATAGTTTTTTGTCCCAAGCACGCGTAATATCATCAATGACATTAATAAGGGCAATATCAGTACTGATTTTTTTTTTAAATCCACATTGACATTCTGGAACTATTTTATTTGGAATAGTGTACGCATATATTTGGTTGAATAAAACCTTTTCATAAATTTTAGAAAGTGCTGGTAATATGCTAATTATTCTTAAGTCATTGAAAGTGGTAGGGCTATTGTTTTTTGGTAGAGGCTTTCCAATAGATACTTTCCAAATATCAGGAAAGTAATTAAGTTCCAAACAGCAATTGATTAGGATTCGGAGTAGATTAGAGTAGTTTAGGTTAGTTCGGAGTAGATTAGACTAGTTCAACTTGGTTGGGGTAGTTAGGAGTAGATGACATTGACAGATGATTCATAGATGACACTGAAAGATGATTCATAGATGACATTGATGAATGATTGATGAATGAGTGACATTTTTGACTGACATTTGACTGACAGGTGACTTTGACAGATGACGTCATCTCCTCCGGAGGACGAAGGATGCAGAACTGTCCAACTATATCTACTCAAGGGAGATATTGAATTTGTGACTTCACCGGCGTGTTTGGAACTTCAAGCAAAGACCAGAATAGTATATTGTGTATTTAGGTGGAAAAGTGACACATTCTCGGCCGACGGTGTGAATTGACGGGCGAGGCGTAGCCGAGGCCGGCAAACACCGAAGGCCGAGAATGTGCTTTTCCACCGAAATACACATACTATTTTTTCTGCGATCGGTTAAATACCTGTTAAATGCTTGTCTTTTAGTTCCAATTATTCAGCAATACGAGAATCACTTTCCCGGCCTAGGCCGGAAAAGTGTTTCCCGTATTGTTATTCATTGATTCCTTAGCAACTATTGAAACATAAATGAAATACCAGAATATTGAGTTTTGCGGCCTGTCAACCGGTCAAAAATGCTGACATTTCTTGTCAATCGCAGAAAAAAGATATTTGTGGGAAATTCTAGAACATTCTGTATATGCCTATTATGAGATTATAAGCGAAAATGGAAGAACAGAAAGTTGAAGAACTTCTGCGCAAAATGTTGGCACTTCAAGAGACCAAACGACAACAAGAAAAACAAGAAGAAGGAGTTAAACGACAATAAGAAAAACAAGACGAAGAAGCCAGTCGACAAAAAGAAAAACAACAAGAAGAAACTGAACGACAAAAAGAAAAACAAGAAGAAGCTAAAGGACAACAAGAAAAACAAGACGAAGAAGCCAGGCGACAAAAAGAACGGCAAGAAGACCTTGGACAACTACAGAAACTATTTAAAAACTATACACGGATTTGTCGCTAACCTAGAACAAAAAATTACGGAAGAGAAAGCCGAAGTTAAATTATATGTTCTACGTCCTGAAACATGTATATCTGACAATTTGAAGTTTGAAGCTGCTGCAAATACCAATGGATGGACCGAACAAGAAAAAGCAACAGTACTGATAGTGGCGCTACGAAGACCTGCCTTAGATCTTCTTCAGTCCATTCCTTCAATCCACCAACAAAATTACCAGCATCTAAATCAGACATTAGAATTGCGTTTCGGAGACCATTACAGGCAAGAAGTATTCAGAACTCAAGTCAAATCAAGAATTCAAAAACCCGGCCAGAGTTTACAAGAATTCGAATCGGAAGTTAAAAGTCTAGTGATTTTGACGTTTCCTGCAGCTGGGGAAGACATGCAGGAATGGATGGCAGTATCTGCGTTCATTGATGGTCTCAGAGATCCAGGAAAACCTGCATTGCATTGGAACTGGAAGCAATCTTTGGTGCCTCACGACCCAGAATTCGAGCAGTGTCCATTGAAGACCCAAAGGATGAACAATCGTCGAAAGAGGATGGTAGCTTTGAGAATGTGATGAGTAATTTCATGGAGAAAATGGAAAATGGATAAACTATTACTAGAAGGTAGAAAAACGGGAAACGACTCCAGACAAACACCAACACCGAGAAACCGGATAGAATGTTATCGGTGCTATAAGCTTGGACATATTCAATGAGATTGTAGAGTAAGAATGTCCTCTCCATCTAGAGATCATTCTCAATGCTTTTCGAGATCTAGAGACGCCAGCCCTAAGAGCAGAGAGGGAAACGTGAACTAACCAGTATGGAGGGGCGAATGCTGGTTAGTAATGACGAAGCTCCGAGGGTTGTTTATATAAAATCATTGCAGAGTCATTATAGAGGATTGAAATTCAGAGGACAAATTAATGGAGAATTTAAAACCATTACTTTTGATACGGGTGCTGAAGTTTCCATAGTTAGAAAAACATTAGTCAAGTCTTGGCAAATCCAACCACATACTAGAAACCTGTCACTACGAACAGTTACGGGCGAATCAATATCAGTTCAAGGAGAAGCTATGATTTTATTTTGGGAATTGATTTGATCGACCAACCAACATGGTTTCTCTTTCGATCCTTCTATGAACATCCTTAAATTTGGCATTGAAGAATTTTTCCTAACTACACAAGAACAATCCCAGGCCGTTAAGATTCTGGCCACAACCCCAGTGAGGATTCCTGGAAGTACTGAGAACATCATTTACGGAAAATTGGAAACAAATCCTGAGTGCTGCGTTGGATTAAAACATAATTTTATTAGAGATAAACCAGAAAAATTTCTCCTTGGAAAGACTCTAGTAAGAACAGAGTACGAATGGAGACGTTATAATAAGAATTGCCAATGTTTCATCTGAAACAGTAAAAATAAAGGGAGGAGATATTATTGAAACTCTCGAACCAGTTAACCAGTGACCTACCAGATAAGCGACATTTTGTAGAAACGAAATTGGATACAGACACCTTGATGCAGATTTTGGAGTAATCATGGAAACACCTCGATCCAGATTTCCATGGATTTTGATTTCGAAATAAACGAGCCCCAGAGACGTGACAATATTAAACAAAATCGGATTTAGTTAAATAGGAAATAAAAACATGACACTTACCAGAATGTTCGTACTTGTGTCTCGCTAGTGAGCTTTGCTTCGCGAAAGCCTTATCACATTGATCGCACTGAAACTGGCCTTCAATTTCTGGTTCTTGCATCATAGGACTTCCCATATTCTTCAATAAATATTGCACTTTAGCTCTTTTCTGCATCATACTTTCTTCGTCTTGTCCGTCGTGGCTGGAATTTGGACTCAAACTGCTCGACATTCTACTGTTAATCAATTGAGTGAGGCCAGAAATGTCGTGACCACCGAATTGTAAAAACTGATCCATAGGAATTCCCATAGAAGCTAATTTGTGAGCTGGCTGAGCTAATATTTGAGCTAAACGACTGCTATTGCTCTCCAAGGGTGAAGGTGATTGCCGGATGGCATCAGCGGACGAGTTTGAGCCTTGAAAATGGATTGGGTATGACAGGTAAGAAGGTATTGGACTTCTTGATGATTTGTGACTCAAATTCACAACTTCATCGTGAGATTCGGAATGGCCAACAGAACGAGATCGCACTGGTGATGAACACGGTGAAGTTTTATTGGAATGAGATGTGCTTGGATCTTTTTTAATAGATAAATCTAGCGGTTGTTCTGACATTGACGTACTGTATTGTGGTGAAGTATTTGGCAAAAGTTGTGGAGTAGAAGGCACAGAATATCTGGGTCCTGGTGTTGTTACAGCTGGATTATAAGGAACTTGGATCAAACGTCCTTCTCTTCTATCTCTGGCTCTGGTATTTTGGAACCAAACTTGCACCACTCGAACAGGAAAACCAATACTAGCCGCAATCTTTTCTAAATCTTCTCTTTTTGGTCTTGGATTCTCTTTGTATTTATTTTTGAGTAACCTCAATTGGTCTTCGCTTATCAATGAGCGCACGCGAACTTTTCTTCCATCCTCGTTCACATGATCAGTGGTGGCGTAGTTTTCTGAATCCATTTCGTCTTGTACATGATAGCTGTTGCTTTCCAAATCTTCTGCTCCGCTCATGTTTTCGTTGGAGCCATTTTCGGATCGAGGAGTTAGAGCGGCTTCAAGTTTGGCTGCTAAACCTTCACTTCGATTGTCTTTGTTGTTACAATCAGTGTCTTCATTACCTGACTGGGGTTCTGTTAAAGGGGAATGTGTTGCCGATCGAGAATCTTTATTGAGTGTTTCTGGTAACGATTCAAATTTTTCCATAGGCTCTTCTTTGAAATGAACATAATTTGTTTTTTCTTCTTCTTCAACATTAACTATTTCGTTGTTTTGATTATCACCATCTTCGTCCATCACCAATTCACATTCCGACATATTTGATTTCGACATTTCGTCAATATCTTCAGCAGTATGATTAGTTTCAGAGGCAGTCACGCTGATTTTATCTTCTTGATGCCTCGTATAGTCTTCTGTGGTGTCCATCAATGAGTTTCTAAGGGGACTAAGTTGTTGTTGCTGGTGCTGTTGGTGAGCCTGAAGTTGCTCGAGCAATTGTCCCAAAGAATAAGGCGCCATATGATTTGCCGTATTGAGCAAATTATGCTGGCTTAAGTAGAACGGGGCCAGAGAAGAGGTTCCAGCTGCTAGCTGCGACTGAAACAAGGCTGCGGCGGCTTCAGGATATTTAGGCAAGATGGGCATGTAAGGGGAATTGTGATTAGGACTACTATTGATGTTATTGTTGATGGGACTAACAGAGGGTCGCTTGGTTTTCAGATTTTGCGGCACGTTTTTGTCTAGTAGGGGATTGGTGATGCCTGCTCGTGTCCTGCCCAGTTTGAGGTTCATTACTAGGCATTTTTTCGAAGTCATGTGACTCGAATAGGATCCGGAATGGGAAAAACGTTTGCCACAGTTGCCGCATTCGAATGGTTTTTCACCGCTGTGGATTCGTATGTGTTCCTGGAAAAATAAAATAGCTTGTGTTAGTAAAAGAACATTGATAATAATAAGTATAAACTTTTTAACACAGATGGACGGATGACAACATCATTTTATGCCGGACGAATTGATAAGGCGAGCAAGCAAATAACTATATTTTTCTAGTGATATCATCCATTCTCCAAACGACGTAGCCAAATAAAGTATAAAACACTAACAAGGTTTAGAGTTTCATTCTTCCTGTGTTAAAATATCTTTGATAAAATACTTACTTTAAGGTGATGCTTGAACTTGAAAGCCTTATCACATTCCGTACATTTGAATTTTCGCAGGACTGCACTCTCGTCATGACTAATCATGTGTCTTTGTAATCGGTAGACGTTGGCGAAGGTTTTGTTGCAGATCTTGCATGACTGTAACAATAAGAGAAATGTTTTTTGAAATATAATTTTTCTTATCTATAACCGTTATTTATTATCGACGCTTGATACCTTTAGCTAAAAATGTGATAAAAATCGCTTTCAAGATACGCTCGATTCGACGTCAACTCTTTTCACACGCTCGCGTTGCCTGATGACTGCACATGTGGCATAATTTTTTGTCATCAGTTAGTTGTTCTTCCATTCCTAGGGGATAACTTGTCAACGTGTCATGTCAGGCGATCTTTCCACGGCTAGCTTTCATTCAGACTGATAGATAAATGCTTTGGAGTGATATGTGTGCCGATGAGGACAAAAATAGAACCTGGATATTATAAATCTATTTTAACTTTCCCGTTTTCATTTGAGTGTTTTGTTCTTTGTCCTGAAGTCATGATTAATCCCTGTGGTTTATCAATTTAGGAAAAATCATCATACTTAACTTTGTTTTTGTTAAATGTGATAACACTTAGAGTGAATCACAATGATTTAGTTGTATATGTAAATTCATAAGACTTATCTCATTTAATTCGTCATATTGTATGAATAATAATAATTAAGTATAGTATATCTGTATCTCATGCATTGTTGCTAAAAAGTGACTAATTAGTTTTAATAATGCACGTACATTGGTTTATTTCAGTAACTTTACCTAAATATGTACCACAAAACATAATATTTATTAGCGTGGTGTTTTGAAATGGTTAAACCTATAATTTATTATTTTAAAACATAAAAGTTTTTCCTGTTATTTCGCTGACTCAGGTTTCGGGCCCAAAACAACTTGTACCCAAATAATAATGTCCCAGTTTCTAAAACAATATTTTCAAGGTTGCACGAATAGAACAAATCAGTTAATTCAGTCTGCAGTGAGCCATAATAATATACACTAAGAAGCGATAAAAAGTTTAAACAAAACGAACCCTCATCTCGTGTTACAAAATTCACCTTCTCAAAGTTAAAATCCTTCTGTAATAATTACTTATCCCATCTCAACTGAAATCCTTTTTTTGCGGTTCAAGAAGTGTCGCTTGAAATTTTGCTAATTTTCGTTCGGCAAAAACGAGGCGTTTCGCGTCCAGGAATTTTACCTGTTTCCTAAAGGATTTGAAGCGCGTCCAGTTTTTACTGGAAAAGTTTTTGCTCGCGTTTCTATCTAGGGTAAACTGGATGAAAATCAAATTTGGATACACGTATAGCAAAACAATGCGTCAAAGGATTTGAATTTGGGTAGTTGTTTTACGATGCCAGGGAGTAATTGCATTAGAAACTGAGAAAAAGAAGTAAAAGAATAGAACAAAAAAATGAGAAAAACATACCTACAATCAAAAGAAGAAAAGGTTTATTGAAAATATAAGGGGTTGGCAGCAACAGTAGAGAGAATAATCAAGAGAAAAGAAGAAGTTGAGAAGAATTTGGATATGGAATGAGAAAGGCATAATGAAAACTAGAAAATGTTCGTTGGAGCTTTATGCAATGTAAAATAAAATAGAAACTAGCAATAGGAAATATATCGAAGATAAAGATTTGACTTTAATTACTTTGACTCTCAGTTTTATTTTTCCTTTCGATTACATTCAAGTCTCAGAGAACCATGGAACAAGGCAAACAATCTATTATGTTATAGAGTCAGTTAAGTTAGCCCCCCCATAGAAAATTTCTGGATGAAAATTATCCCATAATTTTGCTCTCATTTTGCTCTATTTTGTTCCACTAATTTCGATTTTTGCTCCATCACAGTGGAGAGACTATGTTGTCTATTAGGTGGGGGGAGGGGGCTGAATTAACGCTAGCCCCTCCCAGTGAAAATTCTGAAATTTGATCATGCTCATTTTGTTCTCCGAGTTTTGCTCCGTTTTGCTGAGATACTCGGTGAGTTTTTTGCTCCATTACCAGGAAAGACCTACAGAGCTCCCAAAAATCTCTCCGAGCCTCCCTCAGTGAAAATTTTGAAATTTGATCATGCTCGTTTTGTTCTCCAAGTTTTGCTCCATTTTGCTCCATAATCGACAAGTTTTGCTTTATTACCAGGAGAGACCTACAGAGCTCCCAAAAATCTCCCCTAGCCTCCTCCGGTAAAAATTTTGAAATTGGAACATGCTCATTTTATTCTCCGAGTTTTGCTCCGTTTTGATTCATAATCGGCGAGTTTTGCTCCATTACCAGGAATAACCTACAGAGCTTCAAAGAATCTCTTCTTGCCCCCCAGTGAAAATTTTGAAACTTGAAATTACTCATACCGAGTTTTGCTCCATTTTGCACCCTGATCAGCTCATTTTGCTCCATGACGAGCCGCTTCCGGGTGCCACGCTTTGAGCGCTCAGCGCTTTCGAGTTAGTACGAAGTACTCCGGCTACTATTTTACACATTCGAGCGAACAGATTTTGGCACTCTCAAGCTGCTCTCACTTTCCTCGCTTGTTTCCCCTGATGCACCTGTAGCTGATTTTCAAGTTTTCGAGTGCAAAGCGCATTGAGTATAATGGACGTGGAATGCTCCAGGTGCTTCGCACACTGCACCCGAAAGCAACTCTGGAATGAACTACACAGCTCCCAGGAATCTCTCCTTGCAACACGTGTGAAAATTTCGGAGTTTCTATGTGCGCATTTTGTTCTCAGAGTTTGGCTCCATTTTGCTCCATGATCGGCGAGTTTTGCTCCATTACCTGAAATGACCTACGAGCTCCTAAGAATCTCTCCTAGCCCCCCACACCAGTGAAAATTTTGTTTGATCATATTCATTCTGTTCTCCGAGTTTCGCTCCGTTTTGCTCCATGATTGGCGAGTTCTGCTCCATTACCTGGGCTGCTTTCGGGTGCCACGCTTTGAGCACTCAGGGAGAGATTCCTGGGAGCTGTGTAATTCACTAAGCGTGGCACCCGTGGAAGCGGCTCGTCATGGAGCAAAACGGGCTGATCATGGTGCAAAATGGAGCAAAACTCGGTATGAGTAATTTCAAGTTTCAAAATTTTCACTGGGGGGCAAGAAGAGATTCTTTGGAGCTCTGTAGGTCATTCCTGGTAATGGAGCAAAACTCGCCGACAATGGAGCAAAACGGAGCAAAACTCGGAGAACAAAATGAGCATGTCCAAATTCCAGGATAGATTTTTGGGAGCTTTGTAGGTCTTTCTTGGTAATAGAGCAAAACTCGCCGATTATGGAGCAAAATGGAGCAAAACTCGGAGAACAAAATGAGCATGAGCAAATTATAGAATTTCCACTGGGTGGGGCTGGGAGAGGTTCTTGAGAGCTCTGTAGTTCTGTCCTGGTAATGGAGCAGATATCGCCGATAATGGAGCAAAACTCGGAGAACAAAATGAGCATGATCAAATTTCTGAACTTTCACTGGGAGGGGGGGGGGGGGGCTCGCGTCAATTCAGCCCCCCTACCCAATAGGCCACATAGTCTCTCCAATGTAATGGATCAAAAATCGAAATTAGTGGAGCAAAATGAGAGCAAAATTATGGGATAATTTTCATCCAGATATTTTCCATGGGGGGAGCTAACTTAACTGACCTTTTGTTATAGGATGTCTAGGAAAAAAGGCGACAATACACATAGACTTCTTAGAATGAAAAGAAATGGATAACAAGAAAAGAAAATCCAAAATGCAACATAACAGAGGAAGATGAAACTTAGGTAGACATAAGGAAAGAAGAAGTAAAATAAACATGCAATAAATGAGATTGGAGCAGCAAAAGTACCGGGGATGGAACTCTACCTGATAGGGATCGTTAGTCCTGTTGCTATTGTCTTCTTAGAGATATTGCTCGACCTGGGTAATTATTCTGAATATATTTGCAAAACATTGACGGAGGCAACGCAATCATTCCCATGCTGATCCCCGCTTTCGAGAATAGACGTCCAGATCATGATCAAATAACAACAAAGATGATGATGGCCCAACCGTAGTTGGCTGTGACGATGTTTTTTTTTCCATTGATACAAGGAACGAGAGACGAGGATTAGATGGTAGAAATAGTCCATAACAGGAAAAATATATGAAAGGATACTGGAGAAGAACCTGAGATCTTAAAACAGACAAAATATCACCTGCCAAAGGACTATGACAGGGGGATACCATCTCTCCCAAGCTATTTACCCTAGTACTAGAGAATGTTTTTAAGAAGCTGGAATGGGCCTAAACATCGATCAATCACCTCAGATTTGCAGATGATACAGTGTTGAATAATACTTGACACTGCTAACTTCGTGACTCAAGTATACCACCTTTTCCATAAAAAACTGGTATTTGGATAACCTCAGGGTAAGATTGGATTTCCTAAAGGATTCTAGAACTTATTTTAAATTGGAAACGCTAACGTCAAATCAATTGCAGAGAGTAACACAAATTCGATATAGGATAAAGCTTTGCCATAGAGAAGAGGTCCTGACACCTTATCAATAGTTCTCTGGAAAACCGCAGGAGCATTACAAAGATCAAAAGGAACCCTCAAATATTCATAAAAGATGGAAAAGAGTGGTAAAAGGTCTAACTTACAACAGGCCTATGTCTTATTACAGGCTTAATTACATTGTGCTTAGGACCGGTTTATCAGTGGACACAGTGAATTAGTTTAGCTGTCGGTTAACTTATACTTACTATTGGTTAAACAACAGTTAAACTAAACAACCGACCGCCCACTGATAGACCGCTGACCAGCAGTACTGTCCTTTTAAACTATTGGCTGGACCAAGTGCCCCGCCAGAGTTGGAATCCATTTCCACCGGAATCGTTGAGCCCTGTTCGTAATATCCTTGAACCCAATTCCGATTGTGGGATTGGTAACACACTGAATAATGCAGTCAAGCATACATAAAAATACCCGAGGGGTAAACCACCATCCCAGAATTTGTGCAAACAATTCCTCAAAGGGGAATTTTTTACGCATAATTCCTCAAAATTCCTGCAAATTCCTCGAAATTCCCCACAAACTCCTCCAGATACCCCATCACTGGAAAAATAGTGAAGGAAAAATTTTCAAACTTTTTACATGTAAAGAGGAAAGTGAGAAGCTCATTTTCCCAAAATTACAAATTTTTCCAGTGGAAAATAACAACATGAAAAATGATGGAAATCAACTTAGAAAAACTGAAATAATTGTTAATACTTCGAATACTTCGGTCAATACAGTCTCACATAATTCAAAGTTTTCCTTGAAAACTAATTCAGGGAAAATTTTGAAACTTTTTGCATGTGAAGAGGAAGGTTAGAGGCTCATTTTCCCAAAATTTCAATTTTTTCCAGTGGAAAATAGAATTATGAAGAATCTTGGAAATCAAACTACTAAATCTGAACTAGGTAATTGAGAATACTGTCTCACACATTTCAAATGTTTCCTGGAATACTAGTGAAGGGAAAAATTTGAAACTCTTTGCATGTGAAGTGGAAGGTTAGAGACTCATTTTCCCAAAATTTCAAATTTTTCCATTTGGGAATAACCTATAGGAATAACAATATAAAGAATCTTGGAAATCAACTTGCAATAACTAAATTAATTGAAAATACGGTCTCACACATTTCAAAGTTTTCCTGGAAAACTAGTGGAGGAAAAATTTTGAAACTTTTTGCATGTAAAGAGGAAAGTGAGAAGCTCATTTTCCTAAAATTTCAAATTTTTTCAGTGGAAAATAACAACATGTAGAATCTTGGAAATCAGCCTACAAAAACTGTACTGTATTTTTTAAATTTGGACCTGTAAATCATGAAGTGAAATTTTGGGAGAATTTGTTCAATAACAATAAATAACCAATATCCAACACAAAACTAGATTTTTTTGAAATTTCCATTTATTAGTGTTTCTTATAATAAGAATGTGAACCTCAGTGACGTCATGGCCCTACAATTTCCTTTAAATTCCTCATAAATTTCTCACAAATTCCTTTAAATTCACCATAAATTTCTCCAAATTCCCTATAATTTCCCCAAATTCATAGTCTGATGAATTCCTCCAAATCCCTCAGAAATTCCTCTAAATTCCCCAGATTTTTGACAAAGAATTCCTAGGTAGTTTGCCCCTTGAAAATACCTCTGAAACATGAAATACAACAGAGGTTCTAGAAGAGGAACGAAATGGAAGGACAAGAAATAAGATACGGAAGAGAAAAGAATCGAAGAAATTTCTAATAAATGAAAGCTCAGCTTCACCCGTATAGAGGTAAATAGGGAATATGAATTAAGAATAAACAAAGCGTGGTGTCCCTTTCTGGGGAGGACAATATTGTCCTTATTGTAGAATATAGAGCATCTATATATCATTATTTTCCACTGGCGAAATTTGACTCGTTCCTGATAAATGTCTGTAAGTACCGATTGCAAGAACATCCTGATTTGTTTGTCACGACTCAGGCTTCTATAGATGAGAAAAACCAATATTTAACGAAAAACGACCAGAAGAAAAACACAATCAAAACCAATGGACATTGTATGATTGGGCCCGCTTTTTTCTCATCTATGTATCGACTAATATGACAGCTATTTCGATTTTCTATGAGCTAGACACAGATAGACTACTCATCGATGGATCCACCGGGAAAAAAAACGCCCATTACCAGCTACTTTGATTCGATCGATGTTTTAGCTCTTTGACAAATATGACATTGAAAAGTGAAGTTTTGCTCTCAATTATATTTGTGTATTTATTTACCATTAAAAAAAGTTAAGAAACCTATACCAAATAAACTTGTTTATCATTACGTTATTGTTATACAATTAGGGTCTATCCATTGAACTTTCTTAGTGTCTAAAGTTGACCTTCCCTACCCATATACCACTTTAAGCACTTTGAACCAATCATTTTAATCAACGTCAATTAACCTAAAGGTTAAGCTCAATCGTTAAGAAACGACTCACAAAAGTATAGACTCGGGATATTTATGGTGTCGTTGGCGTCATCTTTATTGGTTTCACACTCGCGTCACCATTAAAAGAAATTACTTAGGATGACTTATCTATTTTATCAACAAACATATTGTTACTTTTCGCCGCATCGGTATCAGGTGTTGAAGAAAGTATACGCATCCAGGTGCAAGTGCTACAGATTTAGAACAGAAACAGACACATAAAAAGTTCTTTATTTACTCTTAAAACAAAACGCCTTTGTGGCTGAGTTTTCTATTTACGGTTGCAATACGTTACATTTTTTTTTAAGTAGGGTTCCGCTTATTAGAAAAGCAATCACGAAAAAAGCATCTGGAATATTTCAAAAGTCAATATTATATTGGTCAAGTTTAAAAATAAAAATTGAACCTAGAGAGGTAAAGCGCCGACTAAATTTAATTATTAAAGCCTCTTTACTTATTAATAAGCAAACGATAAACAAAATGTCGTTTTCAGTTTACAAAAAAGAAAACAAAGTAACGCACTTAAAACGGGCGCGAACTGACTAATATGGCCGCTAAATTTATCCAAACATACATCGAGATCGGCGCCATACGGCACTTAATCTTTTAACTAAAGAATGTTATGCATAGTAGGTACTACAAGGTGTTTAATTCTTACCACTTGAGCATTGGGCGAATGCAATAATTCATGTTTTTCTAGTTGTTCTTTGGTATTGAACGATGAATTGCACTGAGAACAACCATAACGTCCTCCAGCAGATCCCAACGGAGACGGCGAAACGGCACTGGCCACAGAAAAATTATTTTCTGAAATAGCTGTCAAATCTTGATGAGCTATATCCATATGCTCTTTTAGAGCTTGGATACTCTGGCATCCTTTCTGGCACTGCGGACATTTGATGAAACAATCTGCATTTGCGTTGAGCTCCTCTTCTTTCAACGACCCGTTGGTCAGGGATGGAGCTGTAACAAAAGGCTTAGTTATTTTATTGTTATTGCGATTATACGTACAAATTTCCTCTTCGGAATCGGAGAAAAGGGGCTTGATTGTAACCTGCACATCCATTTCGGTTTGAAAACAGTGGACGATTATTTTTTTAAATAGATTTTTTTTGTCACTGTCATTGCGGCAAAAAAAAAAGTTGAAATGCTTGTTTTTCCATTATTGATAGTTTGTATCACGTTTGCATAAAAGTTCGTTAAGTATCACACTGGAGCTCAAAAATATTTTCCTGAGCAAACTGTATAGAGATGTACTGTATGATTTTCGAGATAGATGTCGCCACAGTTGAACTTTTTATAAAATTTTTATAGTTTTCGTGACTTTCCACTTTGAGAAGCAGATTTTTCTTTCAAGATAATGTGTTAGTGAGACTTGGACTTGAACATTTACACAGAAACAAAGAACAGTGTCGACAAACAAGACTCAAAGAATCATGGAGCAAATAATATTGAACATGTAGTACATCTAAGAGTCTCCGAAAAGATTGTGGATTGTGGGGGGAGTCGTTTCGGCTTTCCAGCTGCTCAGCACTGCTACCTTTGCAGATATTTTGTACGTGACTCTACTTCTCAAATTGTCTCGAGGAAACGTAGACATCTGCCGAAGGAAGCTATTTTTCTGGGTGTCAGTAGGGCCACTTCGTCTGGTGACAGTGTTTTCCCCTCGAGGAATTTGAGCCGCAGAATTGGGCTGAACATCCGCATGCGGTCTCTATTGCGGCTGAGCAGAATCTGCAGAGATCATCTTCTGCTCTGCCCATCAACCTTAAGTGGTATTTCACCAGGCAGTGGCCTGTGAGCAGTCCTACGACCATTCTGATGTCTGGTCATGCTTAGGAATTCTATTTGACTGTCCCGTTTGAAGTCCCGGAGTGTGCCTCCAGTTGACAGTTGGTCTTTCTCCCTTCTGTTGAGTTCTCCCATGATGCGGCTTTTCATTAAGCCACAATAACGTTCTGGTTCATGGTATGGTGTTGAGGCCCCTTCTTTTGCGAGATTATCTGCTTCTTCGTTTCATTCTATGCCTCGATTACCAGGCGGCCACATCAGCGTTACCTGGGTGTGTCGCTAGTGTCTTTAGGGTCTGTTTACACTCCCAGACTAGTGTTGAGGTGCATTTGAAAGCCCATAACGCTCTTAAGGCAGCTTGGCTATCTGATGAGTATGAGGATGTGTTTTCCTTTGAGGCTTTGGTGGAGACACTCTTGTGCACATATGTTGACGGCAAGCAGTTCAGCTTGGAATATTGTAAGATGTTTGTTCAATGCCTTGGACAGCCTTAATTTAGGGCTGGAAATGCCCAGTCCAGCTCCTTCCGTAAGTTTGGATCCATCTGTGTACCACAGAGATACATTGTCTCCTTGTGGTAATTCTTTATTCTCCCATGATTGGCGCTCGTTTACTACCACTGCGAATGGGATCTCTAAGTCCAATCTGACAATTATGTGGTCGCTTGGTTTGCTGGCATTCTCCAGTTTTATTATTTCAAAGATGCGCAGATGTCCCCTCAGATCAGCAGACTTGAACTTGTCTGTTTGGAATAGCCTGTAAACTCTGATTACTGCGTCCTTTTTCATACATAGGTGAAGTGGAGGCATGTTAAACAGCGTCTCTAGGGCTGCGGTGGGGCAGGTCGACATTGCTCCCCGTTATTCTTGTTGTTTAGCTTGAACTGAGTAGTGACTTGCTGTGTTTTGGGCCACCATATCAATGAGGCGTATGTGACCATGGACTTTATTATTAGTTTGGTAAATCCAGAATACCATCTTTGGCTTTAGCCCCTATATTTTACCAACCAGTCTGCGGCATGACCAGATGGCTGATATAACTCTATAACATGTTTTCTCTAACTATTTGTTCCAAGTGAGTGTTTGGTCCAGGGTGACCCCCAAATATTTCACTTCGTTAGAAAATGTTAGTTGTGTACCGTTAAGGGTGGGGGCATTCAAATTTAGCTTCCTTCTTCTTGTGAACGGGATAAGAATTGTTTTGCTTGGGTTAAGGGATAATCGCCCGCCTTTGCTCCAATTTTTAACTATGTTTAGAGCACTTTGCATTCGGCTTGTTATTACGCCTTTATGTTTGTTCTTCACTATAATGGTCAGATCATCTGCATAGCCTATGACCTAGTATCCAGCACTACTCAGTCTGGTAGGGATTTTGTCCACCACTAGTGTCCATAGTAGTGGAAAAAAAACACCCCCTCGAGGACACCCCCTGACCGTGGTAGCGGTAGCTGAGGCTCCGTTTATTTCAGCCGTAACGTAACGGTGTTTTAGTATCGACCCTTTCCATTTTACAATTGAGATTTCAACATGTCGTTCTTGTAAGGTTCTAGCGATTTATTGATGTGAGGTGTTGTCTCAATAGAGTTTCGTTTCTGATGTACTGGTCAAATCCTTTCTCCAATGTTTTGAGGAGAAAGTAGGTTAGGTTAATGGGACGGTATGATTTTGCTTCGTCCTCAGGTCGACGAAAAATTTTTGGTATGAATATAACATTAGCTTCCCTCCAAGATAGCGGTATGTGTCCTAGGACCAGGCTTGTACCAGTTTTTGTAAGTGTACCTTTAATAAGTACTCGTAATCTTTTTGCAGTTGTGAGAGAAAGATCCCGTCTTCGCCTGGAGATTTGTAAAGTCTGAAGCTATCAGTCGCCCATCATGTTATTCTGTTCATTGCTTCTTCCGTTAGCGCTTTGAGACTCTTCGACGAGTTTCCGACAAAATGAGAAACTAATTGAGAGCCAGAACCAGGTTGGAGGATGTAGCATCAAAAGTCACCAATCATAAATGGAGTTTCGGAAGATCTTGCAAAATAGATGGAGCTCAGAATGAATACAAAGAAACGTCAGGCACACATCAAGAGGCAGACACCACTGATGAGATGTTTAAACTAACCGCAAGATTACACTGGAGAAAAATGACCTAAAATAAAGTTCGCTGGTGAGAATTGGGAGAGACTATATCCAAAGATGGCTAATGACGGGTTACAGAACAAGAATACCAAAATTTTGCTGATGATGAGGAAAATATATTGTTTGCATATTTTCTGAAAATACCACAAATTTTCGATAATAAGAACATAATCCTAAAAAACTCATTAGTTCATGTTGGCCGCGTGGTTTTGGCCACTCTCTGACAGCATCTATCTTTCCTTCCATAACTTTGTCTGCTATTTTCAGATATCTACCACGTTCCCTAACAATTCTGCTTTTTTTTGGAATAGAAAACACTTATTTGGATTGAGTTTCAAGTTGGCATTCTGGAAGCGGTTAAAAACTTCTTTCAGGTTATGGAGATGTTCTTGAAATGAATTTCCTATGATCATGACATCATCTAAATAAATTCTCCACGTATATGGCCTCGCAAAACTAGATGCATCAATCGCTGAAACGTAGCGGGAGCATTACACAATCCGAAAGGCATTACGTTAAACTGGTATAACCCACATTCGGTACTAAAGGCAATTTTCTCTTTGTGTATTGCCACTTGCCAGAATCCACATATGTAATGTAACAGAAAGGTAGCAGTGCTTGAGCGGTAGGAACAAGCTATGTAACGACTCCAAATGTAATTTACAGTCCACAAGCTATATTAAATGTAAATATTCTCAAGCGCTCTTTGATTTTATTTCTAATTGAAATTCTAACGTCTGAACGTGTTTTAGAGTGTTTTAAGTTAGTTTTAAAGTGTCATGTGACGACTTTCAAGATATTCTGAAACTTCCCAGTTTTAGATTTTTTCCAGAAGTTCCGTATGATTTGTAAAATGTTCCATAATACGCCTTGAAATTTCAACTTGGATCTAAACCTAAAATTTCAAGTATCTCCAAGCTTCTTTAAATGTTAAAGTTCGGGAAGTGTTCTGTCTGTTCTAGAGTGTTTCCGAAATTCTAATTTGATTCTGAGTTTCATTTTGTCTCAAACAAATACAGGTAGATTGAAAATTGAATTGAAAGGCTTCTAAAGCTTATCAATGTTCTAAGTTTATTCTGAAGTGCATGCTCTTGAAGCGCACGTTATTTTAGAAGTTATCAGAAATCTCTCAAATATTCTTAAAGGCTTTTTGGTTGTTCTAATTGAAATTCTAAATAAGTGAAGAAGTGTTTTAGAGTGTTCTAATATGTTCATGAAAGTTTAAAGTTAGATCTAAAGTGTCATGGAATGACTTTCAAGATATCCTAAATGTTGCCAGTTCTAGATTGTTTCTAAAAGTTCCATATGATTTGTAAAGGGTTCTAGACTGTCCCAAAAGCAGAAGTGTTGTTCAGAGTAATCACGTCTGTTCTAGAATGTCTCTCAAATTCTAAATTGGTTCTTAAGAGTTCTGTAACATTTTACAATGGCTACGTTCACCAGAACCAAAACGGATTGTAAACAGTTTACAAATACCTACAGAATATGTTGAGTAAACTCTTGGTTCTGCTGAACGATTCAACTTTTCAATGATAGAACGTCACCTTCTAAATGACAGGTCACCACACAAAACGCAGTGTTGAAAATTATAAACACTCTGAAATTATGCTTGCAAAAATGGCGACCGTTTGCAAAACATGTTTGGTTTTAACACAAATTCAACGTAGCGTTCAGCAGAACAATCGCAAACCGTTTACCAACGTTTGTATCTGGTGAACGCGGCCAATGATTCCAAAGACTCCAATTTGTCTCAAACAACTGCAGGAGGATTGAAAATTGAATTGAAAGTCTTTTAAAGCTTATCAAAGTTCTAAATTATTGCTCTAGAACATTTCAAAGTGCTTTAAATTGTTCTCACTTGGTGATATCGAATTCTGAAACTTTCCAAAATGCTTTCTAAATTTTTAAATTGATTGTGTAATGCTCTTGAAGCGCGGGTTTTTGGTTGTTCTAATTGAAATTCTAAATAAGCTCATAGGTGTTTTAGAGTGTTCTAATATGTTCATGGAAGTTTCAAGTTCTAAAGTGTCATGTGACGATTTTTAAGACATTCTAAAAGTTTCCAGGTCTAGATTATATTTCCAAAAGTTCCAAATGATTTGTAAAGTGTTCTAGAGTGTTCCAAAAGCTTTCTAAAATGTTGTCGAA